TTCTTTTTCTGTCTCCTTATCTTTCTCTCTCTCTCACTCTCTCTCTCCCTCTCTCATTCATTCATTCTTTCTCTCTCTCTTCCTGCATTGATCTCCTTCCCTTTCTTCGTGATTTATAGGGAGGGATGAGAGGAGTCTTGCACGACCATTGCATACAGGTCTCATCCTCTTCCTTTTTAGCCGGTGGCAGAGGCATACACGCCTCTACCTCTTCATTTTTCCCAACCATAAGCAAACACGTCTCTAGTTTTTTTTTTTTTTACCTAAAACGACATTGTTTTGGGGTTTTCCAAAATGACGTAGTTTTAGTATGTTACATTAGATGTTCTAACAAATAAGAGGATATCATTTGTGAAGAATATATAATCAAGATTTATGCCACCAGAGTTGAGATTAAAAAGATGCTAGTGAGTGTATGATACCTCTTACTAAATGAATTTTATTATCCATGCTACACAAAAAAATAGGGATTATCCCCCTTGATGTAGCTCCTACGTTAAATTATTCATTGTGCTCTATATTACAGTGAATAATTATTTTAATAGTTGTAATACAAAATATGATCAAGTTAATGATATTACTAGGGAAATTAAGTGCTCCAAAATACGTTATAGAAACACTAGTTGACATGGTTATAGGACTTTAAAAGATATATCCAAACAAGAGTAATGTAGCCTCTTTACTTTGTGGATTTATTCATAACATAGATAGCTTTATAAACTAAAGTTGGATTCTCAATGCCCAAGATAAAGCTTGTGTGGAGAGGGCCAACTAAATCTTTAAAAGACATATACACTTTCTTCATTAGAACCTTGGGGATTAATTTAAGGGAAACCAAATAAATTATTTAGTTTAAATTATAAAATTACCTCTAGTTTCTTAAACTTTGATATAAGGATGACGATTGTCTAATTAGTAAACAGTTGGAAGAAGTGTCCATTTTTATATCTTCGTATTTAAGTAACGATCAATCAAAAACATTATGTAGCGAAATGAGATTGTGATCACTTTCAATAAAAACAAAGTGAAGTAATG